ATTTGAAAGAAGTCTTCTTTTTCTTTATTTTATAATAGATTCCGTCTTTGTAGTTGTCAAAAAATTAAAAAACCTTAAAAATAAATTTAAGAAATTGCAGAACTTAATGTATCGAGTAAGCACGTTATTGTCTTCTTATCACTGTACAATAATTGACAAAGGAAACTGTTACCATATCTGGACATTTGACAGTAATTTTCTGAACTGGATCAAAATTCTGCACATTTGTTGAAGATTCAACTGGCGTCATCAGATTATTCCAAAGTAACTTTGCTAAAGCATCGTTACCAATTTCGGAAAAGTGAAAACAGTCTGGAGACATCACAAGCAAATTCTTAAAAGTCTAGAACAATTCAAAAATTTATAGGTACATTGTAGAAGATATTTGCAGAATACTGATTAGCTGTATTAAAATATTTTTAAACTACAGTAATAAGCTGTCCGGCACAGTAATAAACTGTCAATAATTATAGACAGAGTTATTATGATTAATTCGTATAAAAAAAAAAAAGAACTTTTTAGTTTTGAATAGCGCTGCATAAAATTTGGTTCTGAGTTTCACTTATATTACTATTGTAAATGTGAGAAAAAAAAGAAAACTTGGCTGATCTTTCAAATTTGTTTTTTGTTCTTCTCAAATTTATATTCTGAATTCTGAAGTTTTTATTCACACTACTTTTTGAGTTGTTTTTTATTTCAGTAGTTTATATATCTTTTTTTCTTTTCTTGTTGCATTAAGCACTATTTTCATTGCTTAAAATAGTATATAATAAAACAAAGTCCCTATGTAGAAATAAAAGTGGAAATTTTTACGACAAATAGATATATTAGAAAAAATCTTATAAGTTTTATAAGTGATTACCTTCAACTCAAATACTTTATGTGAATTAATCGCATTGTTAACAATCACAGCGAAGCTATCAGTTTGATATTGGGAGTCTTTCAAAAAACGCTCGTAAACACTGTTGAATTCATTGGTAATCTCAGAAAACTCGGAAAGTTTATAAACACAGGGAAGAATTGCTCTGAAAAAAAAAAAAATTTTTTTTTTTATTCTGCAGTTCAGCATTCAGATTATTGAAAGAAAAATGAAAAAAACTGATCAATAATTGGTACAAAAGATCAAAATTGTTATCAGATATTTTACTGTTCTGATTACCCTACTAAGGATATGTTTCGGCTAGCAAATTCTCAATACTCGTTATTGAATCTTCATGAATAATGGCAAACTGGCGTTAAATTTCAATATTTCTTTTTGAACCAAATACTTCTATACTTATTGTTATTATAAGAAAAGGTTATTTTTTAAGATATACTTGTTTCAAAAGAATTAGCTGTATAACTGACAGATACATTAGCTATTGACGTTACAAGTAATTCACAAAAACATAAAAATTTTGCTGTTTTTATTATCTGTTCAATAAACAGCTGAAAGCTGCAATAAAAAAGCAGCACTGTTCTTCAGAACAGTGCTGCTTTATTGATGACTAATCACATTTTTACACCCCAAGTTGGTTATATTTTTAGTTGCTTACCTGTGATACTTCTCACACTTTTTGCTGAAACTATCCGAGTACTTTAGGAGAGTTAGGTCGTAAAGGGGTACAATATGCAAGATTGTTTTTGGCAATTTTTTTTTCAGGGTTTCTACCAGTTGAACAATGTCCCTCGTATATATAGAAACTGCCTCTTCTCGTGTTAACTAGATTCAAACATATATAATCTTTTTTTAACAATCAATTAGCCGGTTTTTCAAGCAGTTTTTACTCAGCAACCAATAACGAGCCAAAATTTCTTAATTTTTGAGCACTTGCTAAATTATAAATTGCTGTTTTTGTTGTTCAGAAGGCATAGACATTTTTTATCTC